TGGATGTGCTGATGGCGGCCAAGACTGACACACAAATTAATGATACATTTACTGATGGTGATGTATACATTCTACTTTAAATATTATAAGTTTATATACTGTATGTACAGGAGACTTTTGAGTGATCAGATATATTGGGTAACATTTTTAAAGCAATTATAAAAATATTCTTAAATACATAATTAACATATTAATTGTGTATAAATAATATCACTCGTGGTCAATATTATTCTCACCTGCCCTTATCATCTGTGTTAGGCCAGAATAGATAGATTATACAAATTCTAAATCTATAATTTAAAATTGAAATTGTTAAAAAATGATCTGGGTTAATAATCTGTTGCCATATTTAGTGTAAATGATATAAAAACTAACCATGGGCATAAATTGGTTTTCAGAGGGCAACGTAACGGTAATGGAAAGCAAACGCGTCGACGATAACGATAAGGCGGTTAAGGGGTTGACCGACGCGGAGATCGTTGCCCAGGGGTTCGCATTCATAATCGCCGGTTTCGACCAAATATCAAACCTGTTGTCGTTTTGCGCCTACGAGTTGGCGCTCACGCCTCACACCCAACAGCGGCTCTACGAGGAGATCGTGGCGGCGATGGGCGGCTCATCGCATTCATAATCGCCGGTTTCGACCAAATATCAAACCTGTTGTCGTTTTGCGCCTACGAGTTGGCGCTCACGCCTCACACCCAACAGCGGCTCTACGAGGAGATCGTGGCGGCGATGGGCGGCTCTCGGGAGGGCCCGGAGCTGGGCTTTGACGCGCTGTCGGCGCTGCCATATCTGGACGCAGTAGTGAAGGAGACCCTGCGCTTACACGGGTCGCCGCTGAAGCTGAACCGCGTGCCCGGCGAGGACTACCCGTTGGGCGACACGGGTTTGGTGGTGCCCAGGGGTCAGCCACTGGAGATACCCATATACGCGATGCACCACTCGGACACTTTTTTCCCCGAAGCCCACCGATTCATTCCCGACCGCTTTCTGCCCGACAATAGCCACAAATTAATACCCTATTCGTATGTGCCGTTCAGCGCCGGCCCCCGGGTTTGCGTCGCCCAGTCGTTCGCAGAGATGGAGACTAAGCTGGCGTTGGCTCGGGTTGTGTTGCGCTACCGGTTTGTCGCCGATAGGGACACATGTGTGCCGCCGATCGTCCGAAAGCATCCCATATTTAAAACACTCGTCACAATGTATTTGCGCGTCGAATGCCGAGAATGATATGCACTGTATATACAGACTGTATATCAGTCATGATTATTGTAACTGAGCTTAAAGTTTAATCGCATCTATAGTTAAGTTTTTAACCACAATTCAGAATAAAGAATGTAGTTTATAGGATCTCGAAACACACGTTCAGTAGAAATTCTAATTAAATATTTGTAGTATTCAAACAACTTTTTCATAGTATATAAAGTTTTTATTAACAACAATTAAAACTAAATTCATTGATATATTGTTTATTCAATTAACTATTAATTAAAACAAATAAAACCATATGTTAACAAAACAACCATTTTTTTAAACACAAACACCATATTTGCAAAATAATCATATTACTTCTAAGGTTTGGTGTAGGACAATAGTATCATAATTAATAAGGTAATTTTTTTTAATATATACAATTTACTCAAAATTAATAATAAAATTGTATTAAAATTATTTTGTTTTAGACAATAAAAATTCATAGAAAAATGAATTGTCATTAGTTTTAAGTGTATTTAACAGTGCATTGAATTCCTCAGTATTTGCCGGAATTGTCTGCTTATCGACTAACCAGTAGTTATAGTCTTGTAGTACTCGACCACTGGTCGGCCGGTTGTCTGCTATTGACTGAAACATTTGTGCAATCATTTCATGTAATTTCTTGAAATTGGCCGAAAATGTGGTCAAACTGTATGTTTCCAAAGGATTATCACTACAAATATAATTTAAAATTTAAGATTTTAACAAATATATTATGTAATAAATGCCATACATATTGAATAAATCAAACAAATGAAACGAAATGACTGCCAGACTATAAATGTCTACTTTAGTGGTGTATCGGCTCTGAAACACTTCGGGTGCCATATATTGTGAGGTCCCGACACTTGACGTGTGGCTCATCGATACCATGTTGTGCTCAACGGCTACACCAAAATCACATAATTTTATAAACCGGTTATTATTAGTGTTGTTTACGATTAAAACATTTGCAGGTTTTAAGTCCCGGTGAATGACCGGTGGATTCAAGTCATGGATGTATTGCAGACATTGCAAGAGTTCCCGAAGTATTTCACACGAAATGAAATACTCGTATAAATTCATTGCTTCCGACGATTGTCTGCCAAATACTATGGCTTTGTCTTTGATTACAGTCGCGAGTGTTTGACAGCAATACTCCATATGAATGAACACATGTTTCCCTTCAGACCACGAGTTGTAATATTTAACCACAAAATCGGAGTTCATTTTTGATAATATTTTCACTTCTGTTATAACTTTTTGTTTCTTTTCTTCACTAAAATCTGTACAAAATTTTTAAAATATAATATTAATATTTTACAAATATTCATTAAATTTACCCCCAAATTGTACTCTTTTAACAGCATATATCTTATCATCCAATCTATGCTTTACTTTAAATGCTGTCCCAAAAGCACCTGAAGCTATGGCTGATATTTCAATAAAATGGGTTTTATATTTACTATCAATTGTTTGCTCTCTTGTAGTACTTATGCTATGATTAGNGATCACTCAAAAGTCTCCTGTACATACAGTATATAAACTTATAATATTTAAAGTAGAATGTATACATCACCATCAGTAAATGTATCATTAATTTGTGTGTCAGTCTTGGCCGCCATCAGCACATCCAGCATATCGTCGCCGCCGCCACTGAGCGTCGCCTTTGCAGCCATAATCGCGCGCACCGTTTGACAAATACCCTGTAGGTCTGTCTCGTGAAAAAACGAGTTGAGCCCTAACAACTTGAGCGACCAACGGGGCAAAAATTGCATGGCCAACAATTTCCACCCTGGTACCGCGAACAGACGCCACGAGTTGCGCGAGAACGGGTGTCGCGGGTCGTTGTAGGGGTCGACGCGGGCGCTAAATCCGGCGCACGCTATGGCGCTCAGCGTAAAACAGGCGAACGTACGCTTGACGTCGCAGGGCGTGCCCGCGCGTGCGCATTCGTCGAACGCGCCGAACAACTGGCGCACAACGCACGCGTCAATAATAGCGTGCTGTTTGCGCATGCGCGTCGCTGTAAACACCGGCCGTACGGCTGCGCGCACGCGCCGCCACTGTTTGCCCGTCACTTGAAATAGTGTGCGCGCGATCACCGGGTGTCCCACTTTAGGAATGCGTGTTTTATTGTTGAACAACCGAAAGTCGGTGACCAGTATGCGGTGCACGAGCGTCGGGTCGGCCACTTGTAACACCGGTTTATTACCTTCAAATATACTGTCCGGTTTGTATATTGATAATTAATATTGATAACCATGTTGAATTGCGAATACATAAAATATTCAATAATTATTAAGTCTAATTTATTAAAATTATATGTTTATATCTGAATAGCTTATTTAATTACCCGAAAATATTACCATATTGTTTTAGTCGGCGTACTTCTAGCTCGTGCTTCGGTACGAACAACAACTCCCATAGATTGCCAAATATAATGATTGGTTTTGGCCCTTTAACACCAAGTTTATTAAAGTAATCGAAATTGTTTGTTAATGATTTGTACCTAAAATTTTATAAACAAAATTTTTTCATTGAGTAGAAAAAGAACACTCTATTGAACAAAAATTTGTACAAATATAAACTTTTATCAGTTTATAAAAGACTGATAGTTTCATTGATGGTAGTTTCATAACTAGTGTTAACAATGTTAACTTAACATAAGACTAATGCCAATTTTGGGAATAATGTTAAGTCTATGGGCATAATTAAGCTTCGCCCAACTTGTAGTTAGAGATGTTATGAAATGTTAGAAATGTTATGCCACATCTGCCCGAGAGATAATTGTCTTCAGTGGCGATGTGATAGTAATACAGTGCAACCTCTCTTGGGGGAACTTCTCTTGGGGGAACTTCTCTTGGGGGAACATCTCCTTTAGAGGAACGGATTTTTGGATATATTTTGGGTTTTCTATACCTATAACAGAACCTCCCTTGGAGGAACTTTCTCTATAGGGAACACTTTTGCCGTGCAACTGGCCGTTCCTTATGGAGGAGTTGCACTGTATAGGGCTATAGAAGTAGATTAGGGACATTTTTACCGGCTAATGGCCATATACTGAACTACGGTAGCCGCCCGAACATTTCATGTATGCATGTGTTAGGTATTGTCAAGCATATTGCTTTAATAATAAACATTCACTTTATACGTGTCACCTCTGTGTAACATCTATCACATATAAATTGAGTGCTTATGAGAAATTGTTAAAAATTAGATTAAATCATTATATTTTTAAAGCATAATTATTGGTTTTCAATCTAAGATACGCAATTTTCTTTTAATTTTGTAAAAATTGTAGTTAAAATGCGTTTATATTTTGAATTTTAATTAATTTATCTCGTCGGAATATATATAATTTATGTGTATAGGAATGCGATGTATGGTTTGTACAAATTATGATTATCTATAATAATTCTCTGTTGAGAAATTTAGTGTGCAGGCGAGCGTACAGGCAAGTTTACTAAAATGTACAGGAATGTCTCGAAATTTATAAAGAAAGTATAGGAAATGTACAGGTTTCTCATTTTACGAGTTGGTCACTCTATCTATAGCCCTATATTACTATCACATCGGCATTGAAGACAATTATCTCTCGGACAGATGACGCTTGTTAGAATAACATGATCTTTATTTATTATCTGTCATATATTTATTATCTTTGGTTATATTGTTAAAAATTATGCATTTGATTAAGCTTATATACTAAAATTACTAGTTACTAAAATTGTAATCATAACTTTAACTTACATATAAAATAAAAAGTAAGTCCAAGATATAAGTGACAGACCATAAATTAGCGCCCAATTTAGTTCCGTGGCTGGAATCAACATATTTTGATAACGGTAGTTTTACCAGGTCTAACAAATATCACAATGTTAAATATAATCTACTTTTATGGAATTTACACAATTAAAATATTAAAAACTTGTCGCTTTGAATATAACGTTTAAATATTTTTTATATAGCAATATAATTACTATTAATTTATATACTGCACAGAGAGTACTGTGTTGTGTATAGAGTGACCAACTCAAAACTTGAAAAATCGGGATTATAAGTAAAAATGGCTATAAATTTCGGGATATTTCGGGATATTTTATATATAATATCGGGATATTTTTCGGGATGCGTGTATTTGTTTAGTGTAGTTCAATATTGTGTCATTAAAACACTTTATGACTAATGTGTTGGACTAATTAGTCATAAAGTGTTATATCCCGATTTTTAAACATGAAAATTAACTTAAGGAAAAATAGTAAACAGAATTAATACTAAATAATAATTATTAAAAATGATAATATTTTTTAATGAAATGTAGAATTGAATGTTTGAATAACAAAACTGTTGTATATTATCAAATAAATAATTTGTAATACAGTAAAATTTGATCGGGATGTTCTATGGTCCCGACGAGACCCTCGTCGGGACGCTGCGCAAAATGTGTGAAATCGGGATTATCCCGATGAAATCGGGAGGGTTGGTCACTCTAGTTGTGTATCATGTAATAGTTGTTTATTTAAATTCAGTTTTTATGTGGGTCATTCTGAATTTCTAATGTCATCCTGTTTGCAGTAATATAGTTTTTGTAAATTGTACTATGTCATTTTTAATAATGCCTAGAACACAGGTGCCTTTGTTAAAAGCATTTCATTTCATGTGCACCTATCTGCCATTGATGATAGCGTTGCCAGAAAATATTTTAAATTTCCTGTATAATTGTGCAAATTTTGCCAAAAATTCCTGTATTTTCCTGTATTTCATTGTTTGTCAATTAAAACTTTAAATTCATACAATTGCCAAAGAATTATACATTTGCGAAAATTCGAGTGCTTATACAATGTCTTAGTATTAGCAATAGTAATTGAGTTAATTATTTTTAAAATTATTTGATTTGTAGCATTAGTTGAGATTGTGGGTGTACAGGATTAGGATTTTTAACAAATTTGAATATTTCAATACGTTTATAGTTTATTGCCAGAATATTTATTCCTGTATTTTTCAATGTACAGGAATGACACCTTCCTGTACTCTGCAATATTCCTTAATTCCTGTATAATACAGGTCATTCCTGTATATCTGGCAACGCTAATTGATGACCTAGAGCATTTCTCAAATGGCAAATAAAGTGCTGAAAGTGTTATTCGTGCCGATCCCGGGCGTGGGTCACGTGAATGCATGTATCGGTATTGCGGAGCGCGTGATAGCCGACGGACACAGCGCGATGTTTGTGGTGGACGAGCGCTGGTCGGGTCGACTCACGCCATACGGCTTTGAAGAGATACTGTTGAGCGAAACGTTTGAAGCGAAGGGTCGGACGATGAATGTGGACGACAGCCGCCTATCGATGCATATGTCGGTTGTGCTGAGCGGCGCAGAGCCCGTACAGAAGGCCCGACGCCGGGCGACAACACTGACGCTGTGGATAAGACAGGCCCAGTATATGGACCGTGAGTTAGAGCGTCTGGTGCCGCGCGTTCAGCCCGACGTCATTGTCATCGATCAGCACTTGCCGGTGCCGGCCGTCGAGCTATCGGGCGTTCCCTGCCTCAGGTCGTGGGCCGTCGGGCCTCTGGTCATAGTTGACGACGAGAGAGCGCCGCCGGGAATGTCAGGTTAGGGATTGGGTTACATAATAATCATCATTGAATTTACACCCAAATCTATAGGACTGTCCGCTACGGGAGATCAGCGATTATGGCAAGAGTTTCGTCAAGTGGTACGAGAGGCGACTCGAGAGCAGTGGCGGACATTCAACGACTGGGTGGTCGGCCGGGGCTGCGAACCACTTCCCGAATACTGTTTCCATAGGGGCTCGCATTACCTTAATATATATGGCTATCCCCTGGAGTTGGACTATCAGGACATCCGTCCGTTGGGTCGCAATTATGTCCGTTTTGATCATTTTCAGCGCACCGAACGGCACTTGACATTCGCAGTGCCGCCAGAGTTAGCCGCAAAGCCCGGAGCGTTGGTCTACTTCTCTCTCGGCTCATATGGCGCGACGAACGTGCAAAACATTTTGGGTCGCCATTTTGGCCAAATCTCCGCACCGTTTCATCGTATCGATGGGTCCGAAGCATAAGGAGTACACTCTGGCCGACAATATGTGGGGCGCGGAGTCTGTGTTGCAGATCCGAGTCCTACCGCTCGTGGATCTCGTGCTAACACACGGCGGCGTAAATACCGTCAACGAAAGTCTATACTTCGGTCGACCGATGATAGCTATGTCTGTATTTGCCGATCAAAACGATAACTCACAGCAACTGCACGACAAGGGCTTTGGTCTACGACTGGACGCATACAAGTGCTTGGAGGAGGAGCTGTTGGCGGCGATCGAGACTTTGCTCAACGATCGCCGATTGGCTGAACGCTTGGCCGAAGTCTCCCGAAGAATACAAACCGATAATAGTTTGGCAAAAGTGTCGCAACTTATTGAGGATTTTGTTCAAAATCCGCGCAAATATATTGACTAGTATTATCAATATACAGTATTACTTTTTATTACCTTTATTATTACCTTAACTTTATTATGTTTTATAATTACTGTACTAATAATTAAAATAATAAATGAACTAGTAGAATCTAGCTTACATTTTAATAATGTCTAGTCTCTATTTTTCGGGAACTCCCGAATAAATTTAGTGTATAAAAACACCGGGAATTACATACCGTTAGGCGTATGGGCTAAAATAGGACCAATATATATAGTTTTTATATTCCTGATTTTTCCCGATTTTGGTATATTTTGAGAAAATCCCGAAAAGTCCCGAAAACTCCCGAACAGTCTCGAATACTCCCGATTATGAGAAAAATAGTCCCGAAAACGCACTTTTGCCACGAAAAACCTCTATAATCATCGCTTTTTCTTTAAATATTTTAATGAAATGTTAAATAAATACCAAAAACTGTTATAAAGTTCAAATAATGTGTGATAAAGAGACTATATGAAAGTTAAACTTAAAACATATGACAATTCATTTCATGCTATTTTAAAATTATATTTGTCTCCGTCGAAGTCGAGCGTTTTTTTTTCTCAATTTAAGAATATTATTACAAATAGAAAGCATAAATTTACAGAAGAGAATCTCAAATTTCATGTTATTATCAAATATAATTCATTTTTAAATGCATAATTATTGTTATAATGTCAAAATATAATAAATTTTAACTCCCGATAATTTCCCGAATTTGACTGTTTTATGTTCCCGAATCCCGCCCGAATTTGGGTGTTTTTACTCCCGAAAAATAGAGACTCTAGTAATGTCATGTAATTGTTGAGACTATATTCAATTTATTGTTTAGACTAACTGAAAATAACACAACCCATTTTTTATTACAAAAGTAATACTTGTTTACAATTAATTGTTTATTTATTATTCAAATAACTTTGTATATTATAGGTTATTTAATAATTAAGTAATTTTAGCTGTTTTTCATACATATTATAATATATTGACTATTTGATTCCTTATATTTACCAATAATGCAATGCTCTGGTAATACTGTAAGTCACATTAATATAATACGGTATAAAAGCAACAGTTACAATTTATTATGCTCAACTAAATTGACTATTAATTAACAATAATTATAAATTTCTTAATTAAATGCCATTTATTAAACAAGATTTTCAATCATTTCGGCCGCTCTTTGAATGCTTTG